GAGCAAACTTCTCACTATCTACGTTTAGATTAACGAGAAGCGATCAAAATGGTGAACAATATGGATCACGGTTTGCCCAAGTTTTCTCTTCTAGGTTATGATGATTGGAAGATCATGATGGAAGCACACCTCTACGCTCTACATGATTGCATGTGGATGGTGCTTGAGGATGGACCCTTGAAAATCCAAATGGAGAATCCTGAGAGGAATCCAGCAACTCCAGACGTAGTCCAGTACATTCCAAAGCCCAAGGAAAAATGGGATGATAGAGATTGCAAAAAGCACAATCTGGACAACGTCGCCAAAGCAGCCATCTTCAAGACACTTGATCCCATCACCTTCTCCAAAATCAAGCATCTCAAGACTGCCATGGAGATATGGCAAGGTCTTGGGAAGCTATGTGAGGGATCAGAGGACTTGAGAAAGCAGAAGGTAGAAGTCCTGCTTGAGAAGTTTAAAAGCTTCAAAATGCTTCCCAGAGAATCATTCGATATGTTGGATGAAAGATTCCACAAAATCTTGAATGATCTTGCCTCACTTAACCACGTTCTTTCTCCCAAAGAAAAGAATGTAAGGTTGCTGAGATCTCTTCCAACTGAGTGGTACACCAAAGCCACAGCCATGGAAGAAGGAAGAAACCTAGAAAACTACACTGTCCAAGGTCTCCTTGATGAGCTCAGAACCTATGAGCACGAGCTGAAGAAGAAGAAGGAAGAACAAGTCACTCCCTTCCCCACGGCACTGATGACGACTCCAAGAGTCCCATCAAGTGAATGGACATGTCCAAGAAGCTGTGACACACCTTCCTCCAGCCAGCCGTCAAGCTCAAAAATGGAGAACTACGATGAGGAATTTGCCATGATGGTCAAGCAATTCCGGAAGTTCAAGAAGTTCTTCAAGAAAGCTGACTCAGTCAGAAGGCTAACCAAGGGAAAGCCACAAGTAAGTGACTCTCCTCCTGAATCTTATTTGTGTTATAACTGCAGGAAGCCTGGTCACTGGAAGTCAGCATGCCCGTACCCAAAGGTGGAAAAGTACGGAGAAAGAGAAAGGAACGAGAAGAAAAAGAAGGCAATGGTTGCTGCTGAAAGTGATGAGTCATCCAGCTCAAGCTCGGATGAAGAAGCCCTCATCTGCATGGAGCGCAGAGTTGAAAAGTCCAACCAAGAGGATAGGTGGACTATGTCAGAAGGTGACACTCTCTGCCTAATGGCCAAAGATGATGCCAATCAAGAGGTAACCTCACAAACCTCCTGCTCATCTTCTTATGAAAGCATACCAACTTCTGAAAATCTTTTTGACCAGTTCAAAAAGATGATGGTAGATTTTGAGGAAATAAATCTCAAACACTCTTCCTTAACAGAGGAGAACAAACTATTGAGTGAAGAGAATCTCAAATTGACTGAAGGTCGAAAAAGTCAACTGGATGAAATCACTCAACTCAAGACTGAAAATGAATCTCTCTCTGAAAAGGTGAAATCCCTTAACAAAGAACTAGGGACACTTAAGTCCAAAGAAGCAGTGGATAAGCTTCTTGAAACGACCAAACATAAGGGTCGTGAAGGACTTGGGTTTGACCCCTTCAGTTCCAAAAGAAAAGGGAGAACAACCTTCATCCCTCCTAAACCTACTGCTAAACCAAATAAGCAGAAAGGAAAGGAAAAGGAGAAACCAACAGAAGTTCCCAAAAAGGTAGTCCCTCCTAAGAACTATAGGAAGCTGGACAGACCTCAAAGAGGAAATAATTTCAGAAGAAAACCTTCTAACCCCCATTATACACGA